TTATGTTTATTTTGGTCATCTGTTGTCCTCTTTTTGTTATGTTCTCTGTTTTGTGTCCCTCTCGTCTCATACTTAGACAAACTTTATTGTCATTTTGTATAAACAGAGTGTATACAAAACAAAATTTCGATCCATACAGGTTTTCACTAGTGAAAGTGTAGCTTAGCAGTGAAAGGAACATTTCCATTTATAAAGTGCAGCGATGACTCCTAAATAGGTGTCTGAATAACCAAGTGAGGGTCCAGGTGCTTGCATTGGGGAGTGGTGGCCTAGCGGTTACGGCATAGAGCTTGGAATCCTGAGGTTCTGAGTTCGAGCCCAACTCCCAAAAACTGCAACTCTTGCTCTTTGAGCAAGACCCTTAACCCCACACTGCTCCCTGGGTGCCCCATGAAGGCAGCCCACTGCTCCCCAAGGGGATGGGATTCACAGGTAAATTTCTCCAATGTGTGATAAATAAAGTTCAATTATTATTTACTCCGATTTGAGAGTGTCTTGTGTTTCTATGACTTGGATTATTGGGAGTTTACAAAGGCACAAGGATAATAAAACACTGACAGACATGGATCATGACTCTGCGGTGAGGAATGATCCCAGCAGCTGAATAGTTAAGGTGAATCCAGATACAACTTGATTCTCTACATATATCAAAACAACTCCAATGTGATTTAAACATCATTTCTTTTCTTTGCTGTTTCCTGTGTTGGCTTGTCTGACCCTATAAAGAAGCTTCACAGCCAGAACAACTGCGGTCACCATTTTTTGTAGTTTCTGCCAAGAACTTTCAGCCACATTTTACTGAGAGCACTTGGGCCGCTTCACAATTCACAAGAACCCAAGTATGAACTTGTGTCCTCGCCAAGTATGTTCTTGACAAGAACACAGGAAGTATGAACTCTGGGAGAACAGGAGCATGCTGCATAAATCTGGGTCAATTAGAACAGGAGCGTACTGACAACGTCAACACGTTCAAAGCTTATCTGGAGCTGCATTTAACCTCCTGTTATTAATATTCACTAGATAATAATACATTCTGACTTTTTTTCATTTACTGGAATGAATAATGATTAATATAGTCAGATAAACACAAATTAAATGAACGTTTTGCCAAACAATTTAATCAAACCTCCATCAGAGCCTTGACACGCGGCTATGCAGAAGCGGGCTGCTGTAGATCTGCTAATGTTAGCCCTGGCTGCTATTACCCTCGGAGGTCCGCTGGTTGCCATGGTACTCTCAACATCTGAACTTCTTTTTTTATTATTACACACTAAATCAGTAAATGGGCCATATAGTGTCACTTAAAGGTATTATGTTCTCGCCTCAAATGATCTTCAAACGTACTTTTATAGAACAACAGCAACAGAAAAGAACTTTTAACTTGACACTGTGAGGTCTTTGATCACTAACCTGGAAGCTGGTGATGACGCAGTGCATGCTGGGAGAGCTGTCAGTCTGGGGAACTGACAAATCTGCTCAGATGCATGCTGGGTAAAGAGGGAGGAATGAGAACAACATTCGGGGACTTTGTCCGTTCTTGGTCTTGTGTTTTTGTGAATTGGAACGGTGCTGGGGCTAATGACGTTTCACGAGCACACGACTTACAGGTGACATCACCACATTCAACGCAAAACGAGTACAAAACAGCCTAGGTTTGCCTGCTTCAGCACAGCTGATTTCCAGTGATAGCCAATTACCAGGCATTTGCTAAGCTGCAGTTATTAGAATCAGCTGTGGTCATGAAGGGAAACCTCTAAAACCTGCAGGACAGTAACCCCCGACGACCACCTTTGGGTCCGGTTGGACCTGTACACCTCTGTAGGGGCCCATCTCTTTGTCTTTCAATATTTGCGTGCACACAAGGTTGCTAGGGATATGGTGCACTGTGAATGAAACTGATTCAGGTGACGTTGTTGTTTTGGCGTTGTTGGATTTATCATCTGCTTTTGATACAGTTGATGATGTCATTTTACTTTCCCGTCTGGAACAGTGGGTGGTCATCGGTCACATAGCTCTAGATTGGTTTAGATCATATTTGGCTGAACGTACTTTTTGTGTCTGTCTTGATGGCCATAGGTCCCCCTCTGCTCCACTGTCATGTGGTGTCCCACAGGGCTCAGTTCAAGGCCTGCTCCTTTTCTTACTTTACCTTCTTCCTCTCGGCTCTATTTTTAGAAAACATGGGATTGCCTTTCACTGCTATGCAGATGACACACAGATATACTTACCTCTAAAGAATGTAAACTCCTACCTAAAGAAGGTAATGATCTTTGGCAGATCCACTGCTGATTCCGTGACTAGTCTTGGCTCCTTTGCTCAGTACGTTAAGCCGGTTATTACTAATTTAGGGGCTAAGATGGATGCTGGTCTTAAAATGGAAGCGCACATCAGAGCCGTTATAAAGTCCAGCCTTTTCCACTTAAGGCAGCTAGCCAAAATAAAACCCATTCTTTCAAAACAACATTTCGAAACAGTGATCCATGCATTTGTGACCACACGGCTGGATTACTGTAACTCACTTTATACAGGGCTCAGTGATTTGTATATTTCTCAACTTCAGAGGGTTCAAAAAGCTGCTGCACGTCTTATAACAGGTACACGAAAATTCGACCACATTTCCCCTGTTTTAGCTTCCTTACACTGGCTGCCAGTACATTTTAGGATTGATTTTAAAATTCTTTTATTTGTTTTTAAAACTCTTAATGGCCTTGCTCCTTCTTATCTGTCTGAGCTGTTACATTCTTATACACCCTCCCGTTCCCTCGGGTCAGCTGATCAGTTGCTTCTGAGGGTCCCAAAGACAAAATGCAAACTCAGAGGAGACCGTGCTTTTTCTGTGGCAGCTCCTAAGCTGTAGAACGATCTGCCTCTGAACAGAAGACAGGCCTCTTCTCCTTTTTAAGTCCCTTCTTAAGACTCATCTTTTTTCCTTGGCTTTTGGCACAATTTGAGAGGTTTTACTTTGTTTTATTCTCTTTGTATACTAATATGTATTTTACATTCGTTTTTTTTCTATTTTATAATTTTATTGTATTTTATGATTGTGTACAGCACTTTGGTCCTGTCCGGTGCATAAAGTGCTTCATAAATAAAGTTGGTATGGTAATGAACCGTACATTTTATTTTAAATTTAAAAATCTCTTTAGGGTGAAGGGATGGACTTGTAGCAATAGAATGGCAGGTGTATTCTCCAGTCTCAACTTCTCTTTTGTCTTTGTTTAAAATTCCTAAATAAGAATCTTGAATACTTTCGGAGGGGGGGTTGTGCATAATTTATCCAAGCATTGGCTATTATTGTAAATATTCCAATCAAATTCTTCAATTGCCAGAATTTCTACAAAATATTAAAATAAATCAAAATCTAAAAAAATCTATTTTTACTGCTGAATACATCAATGTTTGTGTTTCTGGAACAACGTGTACCGAAAACAATCTGTACTATGATTTTGAGAAAAAGGTACGTGCTGAAATTTGCATTTTTAATACCTTTACAGTACAAATTATTACACATCCATTTTTTAACCCAAGCATATTTCTGGGAAACGATTGGAAGAATAAAGAAGATAAACTAAAAGCTGTGGAATGTAATAAAAAAAAAAAACTCCATCCGTCTTTTTTTTATGCGTTAGATGGAGTCACTAAACCCTTTCTATTGAATCCAGAGATAATTTTTTTTATTTCCAATGTAAGTGAGAGAGACTGATGAAAAACAACTCAATTTAAGTTTTGTTTTGGATTATATGGCTGCTGGATTTGTTTCAGACCACTGAGTCATTCTGGAGGCTCCAACTTCCAAAACCATTTCACATTTAATGTCCCCGACTGACAAGCCAAACTAAAAACATGCCAATAAATCACAAATGAGAGGAAGCTTGCCAGTTTAACAGAAAGATTGTAGGATTTGCAAACTTATACCCCTGTTGTGCATTATGTCTGATGGAAGGATAGTAAATCTGCATCTCATTCTTTGAATTTTTGGAATAGTTTGGGCTCTACTCTCTCTGGCGCTCCTGCATCATTGACCAGAGTTGAGAGAAACTTTGAAACTTGTACAGTCAGTTCCAGGATATTTGGAGGTGTTGTTACAATAATTACAGCTGAGATGGATGATTTAATAACCCTATTTATTTCATCAGATTTGTACATTCTTATAATACAGCTTAATGAAGCTTATCCACACTATTTTGAAATTTTAAATTGACGCTGTGTTCTCATCCATATGTTTTTGTATTTAATGGTTCCTGTAGTGGTTAAGTTTGTTTTTTTTGGTTTGTTTTTTTGCATTTAGCTTGGTTTTCATTCAGCTGCTCCATTGTTTACATTTTCCATAGTTCAATTTCAATTCAATTCAGCTTATTTCTATAGCGCCTATTCACATCATGTCATCTCAAGGCACTTTCCAGTTCACCAGATCGATTCAAAGTTTTCTATCTAAGGAAAACTACTTGATTCAATCGACGTATTGACTTGAAGGCAATCCCTTACACTAAGCATGCTTGCAGCGACAGTGGAGAGGAAAAACTCCCTTTTAACAGGAGAAACCGCCAGCAGAACAAGGCTCAATGTGCGGTTTAAATCGTCAACGAAACCCCACATAAGTATGGTTGACGAAATAAACTATACCACTAAATGCTCAGGTTAAAGTGTCTGATTTAATATTTCCCACTTTAATATAAAGGGGCAGATATTACTTTCAAGCAGTTTTGTTTTTATATTAGTTTTGTTTTTACTTTTGGTCAATTTTAATCATGATAGTTTATATTGTTAGATGATTTTTATGGCTGCTATCCACAAAACGTTACTTCTTTGTAAAACAGATTCTGATCTCAGTGGGACTTCCAGATCAAATAAAGGCAGATTTTGCAATCAGAATTAATATTAGCAATCATAATTCAACTAAATATGTACAGTTTCATTTCGATTTGATGTTAAATGGTGAAAAAAACATCCCTTTTGATGATTCTGTTTGTACAAACCATTTTGTTTCTTTCCTGTTTTAGGAACTGTTGAGGAGACAGAAAGCTGCAGAGCCATAATGAAATCAGTGGATAGAACCCAAACAGGACGGCCATCAAACAGCAGGGACTCTCAGAAACACACGAGCTAACACAGACGAAGATACACTGAATAGAGACAGACTCGACACTTTGTCCAAGCCACGGGAAGACCCTTAAAACAGCAGGAACTGCCAGAACGCATCATTAACAGATGACTTCTAAATATATACACACGCATACAAGCAAGCAAGGGTGGAGACTGGGCTCTGTGTCCAAACCATGGGGAGATGGTAAAACAGCAGGCTGCAGTCAAAACACGGTTTGAACTGGTTTCACGCGCACTCCAGGAAACATCTCTCCATTTTACAGCCGCGACGGAGGGGAAACCCAAGACCCGTCGGCCCAAATGAAAACCATCCTCTTCAATGCAAATCATTACGTGTTTCAGAGGAGTTTATTTAATTTATTCACCGAGGCTGAGCTAAAGCGGATTTCATGTCTGTGTGTTTTCGTTGGTCGAGAGGCAAACGTTTGTTCGTCTCTCTTTGATGGATAAATACAAATTTTTTTCATAGACACCAGCTTCCAAAAAAGGAAGACGGTTTATCTTAGCTCACACTAAAATTAACCAATTTATTCACTATCTGAAAACATTTGGTGTGCTCTGTTTTATTTACAAAAAGAATACACAATTTAAGAGTCACATGACAAACATTTTAGAAAAAATTCATAATGGTCTTTGTGCTTTCATGAAATTTGTACAACTTTAGAAAGGTTTACAATTCATTGTGTCTAAGAAAATGGCTCCTTTTGAAACTGATGCCTGCAAAATGTTTTAATAAAAGTGGATGAAAGCTTCAACCACCTGACTGTGCAATGAGTGATCTTAAGACTGCTGTAAGAGTATAACCAGGAAGCGAGGTAGGAGGGCAAAATAGGTTTAGCGCCACCGCAGCACGGGAGGATTACGCCCAGGAGCAAATGGATATAAATACACCGGAGGGGGAAAAAAAAAAAAAATGAATCGATTCTCTTGCGGACGTGTCGATGCATTGGATCGTCGGCTGTTGGATCGATGCATCGATACAAAACGATTATTATTTACACCCCTAGTGATAACTGATTAATATTTTGTGGTTTGTATGTATCTGATCACAAGACGGATTAAATTGCGGCATAAGTGCCTGCTCTGTGTGCTCCCTTATGGGAGCACACAGAGCAGCAATTTAGCAATTTAGCCAGCATATGCCTATGTACAAAAAAAATAAAAAAAATGCTAGCATACGTCAGAGCATGTGAACAGAGCGGAGCGCCGCACAATTCCCGCTCAGGAGGATTTTCGCTCATGCGTTCTGCTGCACAAAGGTGCGCCAGACCACTCTTCAAAATCCGCCCCCCTGCTCACCTTAATTTTCCTGCTGCTTCAGCAAAATAGCTCCATTTTTACTTCATGTAATTCTGCCAGGGCCCTGGGACACACAGCGTTTGATTTAATGATGTGACCGATACATGTGGATTGTCTCATTGTCAGTTTCACTATAGCTCTAGTGAATTGCCGTGACGTCACTGCTGGAAGATGGCAGGAGGGAGGGGCTACTATATTTGGGAAAAAATGGCTGCTCCCTGACTCAGTGATCACAGCGAAAAATATTTTTATTTTTTCACTTATTAACACTTAATTCAATAAATCATTGAATGTATTAGTTTTGGGTATAAATAATGATCCATTGATTATTCCTTGCTGAACGGACTTATCCTTTAAAAACCAGCCTGTATAAAAGGCTCAGATTTATCATAACGTTACTCATTTATTAGATGAGTTTAATGTGTTATTCCTTCTGCTGCAATTAAACAGACTCATTGGTGAAATGTAGAGCATTTTACAAAGTGTTAAAAGGTTAAACGTTGTTTCTAATGCGACAAAAGAATAGTTTCTTCCTCGCAGCAAACCTCTCTCACTTGATATGTATTGTCCTCTTTTTTTTTTCTTTTTTTTTTTTTTTAAGTCTTTTGGGTTCAGACCTCTGGCCTGAGTCTTCCTCCCATGAGGCAGCCTTCCTAGAAAACAGGCTGTTCACATTACTGNTATGTATCTGATCACAAGACGGATTAAATTGCGGCATAAGTGCCTGCTCTGTGTGCTCCCTTATGGGAGCACACAGAGCAGCAATTTAGCAATTTAGCCAGCATATGCCTATGTACAAAAAAAATAAAAAAAATGCTAGCATACGTCAGAGCATGTGAACAGAGCGGAGCGCCGCACAATTCCCGCTCAGGAGGATTTTCGCTCATGCGTTCTGCTGCACAAAGGTGCGCCAGACCACTCTTCAAAATCCGCCCCCCTGCTCACCTTAATTTTCCTGCTGCTTCAGCAAAATAGCTCCATTTTTACTTCATGTAATTCTGCCAGGGCCCTGGGACACACAGCGTTTGATTTAATGATGTGACCGATACATGTGGATTGTCTCATTGTCAGTTTCACTATAGCTCTAGTGAATTGCCGTGACGTCACTGCTGGAAGATGGCAGGAGGGAGGGGCTACTATATTTGGGAAAAAATGGCTGCTCCCTGACTCAGTGATCACAGCGAAAAATATTTTTATTTTTTCACTTATTAACACTTAATTCAATAAATCATTGAATGTATTAGTTTTGGGTATAAATAATGATCCATTGATTATTCCTTGCTGAACGGACTTATCCTTTAAAAACCAGCCTGTATAAAAGGCTCAGATTTATCATAACGTTACTCATTTATTAGATGAGTTTAATGTGTTATTCCTTCTGCTGCAATTAAACAGACTCATTGGTGAAATGTAGAGCATTTTACAAAGTGTTAAAAGGTTAAACGTTGTTTCTAATGCGACAAAAGAATAGTTTCTTCCTCGCAGCAAACCTCTCTCACTTGATATGTATTGTCCTCTTTTTTTTTTCTTTTTTTTTTTTTTTAAGTCTTTTGGGTTCAGACCTCTGGCCTGAGTCTTCCTCCCATGAGGCAGCCTTCCTAGAAAACAGGCTGTTCACATTACTGCCTTGGGATAGCAGATGTTCATCACTGTGGGGAGAAACAAACTAAAATACGAGAAGAATATAAGAAAAAAATATTAATATTTAAAATTGAATCTTCTTTGACACAGCAATCTCCTTTAAACCTCTGCAGGGTCATAACAGCAATGGCTGATTCAAGGCAGAAGGTGCAGAAGATTACATAGTTAAATGTAAAACCGTATTAAAACCCCATTATCTATTCAGATAAACAACAATCTAATATAATTCAATGACGTTTTTAATTTATAAACTTACAATTATTTAATGCAGCTGTACAGACTAATAAATATTTCAGCTGTTCATTTGTCAAAACAGATTTAACTTTTCATTTTAGCATTACATTCTTTCAGAATTATAACATTGACAGTTAACCAGAATTTCCTTGATCTGGAGACAAACAATGCAGACCTACTTTATTAATGCACTCCATATTTTATCCTGTTTTTTCCTCTTTCCACCTTTTTTTCCAAATCATTCTATTAACATATTTCATTTTATAAAGTCCTACTGATCCCTTAGAGAAAGAAGAAGAGCCCACCAAACAAAAGCTTGGGTCTCAGATGGTTACTCAATAACAGATCAGTTGATGAAAGTGATTCTGTTAACTTTATTTTAAATTATTACTTATGAATGACACAACACCACCTGGAAACAAACACCTCTGGACCTTAAAACGGATCGGCTGATACTAAATTCAGTTTCAATTAAGTTCAGTTTATTTCTATATCGCCAATTTACAACACATATCATCTTACAGTGGGCACTGGTTGGAAATGGACGGTTTCCTGCGTGATTCCTGTGTGATTCCTGCTTGAATCACGATGTATTTCCTGAGGCCAGTATATTTTTTTTCAAAAAGAACTGCAATGTACCCGGACAACCACCAGGCGGCACTTGGGAGCTCTGCCGTGTTTGTGGGCCTGCAGTCAACTGAAAAGTTTATTGAGACCATTTGCATAAACAACCAAAATCTTATGATGATATGATGTTTTTGATTAAAATACAGTTAATGAATTAATTTAACATAGTGACTGCATTCTAGGGCTGGGCGATAATTCAATAACGATATATATCGGTCGATAGACATGTGGCGCAATAG